CGATTTCCCTCCCGATTTCCTCTCCCAAAAAGCTCTCTTCCCTTCCCATTTGAAATCTCATGTGAGCCTTTTTTTGAGCTTTTTCCCTAAAATGATGTGACCCGGATGTCTAGGGGGAGAGGGCCATCCTTTTCTTTTCTTTTTTAAAGAATTTCACTTCCTTTCTGAGGTTTTTTCCTTTTCTTTTTTTCTTCTTCTATCCTAACGTCATCTATGGTATAGAAAGGAAAAACGAGTATCGAATCCCCAAGATTTCACACATTTTGTGACGTCAAACAAAAGAAATGTGTGTGTGGAAATTGATATGTCTTGGTCCCAATTGTTGGGGACAGAGAACAGAATTTTGGAGGCATGGGATACTGTAGGCTGAGTAGCGGCAAGGGACAAAAAGCTAGATGGAAGACGCTGAGACGCAGACTGTCTGCGTGTCTGCCTCTCTTTCGCTCTCTAACTTTGAAGCACTGTATCTCGAGAATCAGAAGAGCTAGAAGAATAGTTCAAGCGAGTAAAATGCGTAAAGTTTTATGGAAAATCGAATGGGCCAAAACACCTAGAGGGAAACTCTGATTATATCATTCCTTTGATTGAAAATGCTAATAGTTTTTGGTATCTTTCTATGACTTTGGGCTCATCAAATTCTCCGCAAAATTCTACACATTTTACTCTATTGAACCATTTCTTTAGCTCATCTGGTTCTCGAGATACAGCGCTTTGAAGTTTGAAAAGAAAGAGCGAGGGAGTGCGCGCACGCAGAGAAGCAGACTGTCTGCTTGTCTGCCTCTCTCTCTCTCTCTCTCTCTCTCTCTCTCTCTCTTCAAACTTCGAAGCGCTGTATCTCAGGAACCAGAAGAGCTAGAAAAACGGTTCAAGAGACCAGAAAGTGTAGATTTTTATGGAGGATCCGATGAACTCAAATTCCCAGTCGAAGCTCACAACCTATCGTAGTTTTGACTGAAATAAACTGATTTTAAGCTCCTACTCCAATCTCATTGAACTCTCCATAAAATCCTACTCATTTTACTCTCTTGCACCATTTCTCTAGCTTTCAAGGTTCCTGAGGGAGGTACAGCGGTTTGAAGTTTGCAGAAACGCAGACACGCAGACAGTCTGCATATCTGCGTCTGCTTTGCCGCGCCCAAGTCCTTCTCTCCCCCAAAATTTCCGCTTTTCGATCACATTTTCTCAAAATATTGTAGGGGTATAATTTAGTTCTCAATCTTCCTCCTCCTTCCTCTCACCCAATTTTTCACATTTTTCTTCACTTCAATTTTCTTTTCTTTTTCTGCTTTTTTGGCTTTCTTTTTCACACGCGGTTTCATTTTCCGCTTTTCCTTCCATTTTTTTGGTTCCTTGTTTCGAAAAAAAAAAACAGGATTCTTGAAAATTTTGGAGTCTGGAGGAGAGGATATCCACTTGAGGAGTTTTGGAGCATCCTTGAATTTTTTGAAGGGGTACTGTAGTTGGAGAATCTGGGTAATCCGAGCAAAACACGTGTAAATTGTAGTTGAACAGAACAGACAGCTATCTAATTTGTAGAAGCTTAGTGACTAGAAACTACAAAAGTTCAAAACCACTGTAACTCTGTTAGTGTTTATCCGTTTTCGATCGTTTTTGGACCAAAATTCCTGGAATTGACCACAGATTAAAACATCTGAATGGCCGAAGACATATAATATTCGGGATTTTGCAGGTATTGCCGCTGGGTGGGCGAAACTTTTTCAATCTGAAAATCTGAACGAGTAGATCAAAAAATTCCCTATCGATTGGTATAAACTTCATATACGGTTACATCAGTAAATCTTTGTCAAAAACCAGAAAAACTGAACTTTTAGCTTTGAAAATCCAGTTTTCCTATATGAAATGTATTTCATTCGAATGAGAATTTTTAGGTCTACAATTCCAGATTTTCTTTTTCCATCTTTGCGAAAATTTGCTTTTAGGGATTAGGATACCTTTCTTTTGATCTGCAGGTAGAGTTCTGACAATGTTGCAAAAAAAGAAGCTGGCAGGAAGTCCAGAGAATGATTTCTACCTTATTGTCAGAGCAGCATATCTCAGCCGTCTTGAAGGTTATCAATACAATTTCAACTGATGAATTGTTTAAAATTAATTAAGAAAAAACTTTTAAGTTGACGACTTTTTGCTCGCTCTCAAAACAATCTAGATATACTGCTCTGAACATGGAAACCTTTATGGACTATGCAGTATATGGTGTGGTATGTTCAGAGCAGCATATGTCGGTAGCCTTGAGAGCTAACAAAAAGTTTTTAACTAGTAAAACGTGTGAAATGTGTTGGTGAACATTTTTTTAGTTGATCATGTTTTCAAAATTTCCAAAATAACAGAGATATGTTGCTTCGAAAATACAGTACTGGGATTATCTTTAGGTGCTCCGGGTTCAGAGCACTATATCTTGGTTGTCTTGAGAGTTATCAAAAAGTTGTGAACTAATAAAATGTGTAAAATGAAACGATTAACAGTTTTAAAGTTGACCACATTTTGATAGCTCTCAAGACAATCGAGATATACTGCTCTGAACATAAAGAAGGTCGCTATAACCGGTTGAATTGGGATTCGAACAATCCTGACCGTCCGAATCTCTAATTCTTGTTCCAATTCAGTTCTGAGCACAAATCACGTCATCCCATTTTTCCTGTGAACACCTCTTCCACAATTCCTCCCACTCCTTCTCTTCTTCCAAAAAAAGTGACGTCTTCTATTGGTTGCCCTTAGCATTCCCCCTATTCTTCCTCCTTAAGGTCCTCTCCTCTCCTTTCTTCTTCTATTTCGTAAAAAATATTCCAAAAAGAAGAAGAAGAAGTTGACGTCTTCTTTTTCTTCTTGCCAGCTGGAGAGGAAGAAGACAGAGAGAATTTGATTTCGCCCCCACCGCAGCGAGGGCCCCCGGGGCTCCGCCCACTTTTTTCTTCAAAAAAAAAAGTTTTTTTGGAGGGGAGAAGAGAGAGGATGAGCCTTCCTTCGGAGAGCAACTCCCCTAGGAGATTTCTTTTCTTTTTTTTGTCTTTTTTGGGAAAGGGAAGATTTTTTAAAATTCTCTTTGAACCAGGGATAGGGTAGAGGTCTTGAGGGTTATCTAGGATTCGATAGTTTGCAATATGCGCTCTATTGATAACTTCAGATAAATCGCCTGTAGGTTTTGATCTACCAAACCCACAAAGGTTAGGAAGTGCGCTCTAATGCTCAATTTTTCGGATTTTCTCAGAATAAAAGAGTCCCCGTATTTCGACTATAACTGGGGCCAAAATGAATATTTCAACTTGGTTTTTGGATCAATTAGTAGAGAATTCAAAGGCACATATATGGCCGAACTCTCCGAAATCGGAGATCTCTAGGCCATCAACGATTCTTTGATCCCTTTCCATTTCTAGGGTGCTACCCCGCATTAGAACTGTCCCGTATTGGAACTTCCCGGATTGAAAGCGCCCCATATTTAAGCTCCCGGTTACGACTTGGGACTGAATTTTCGTACCGGACATGAAAATATGGTCATGGGACAATTCTCATCAGTTATAGTGCGGGGTAGCACCATTTTTAGCCATTTAATTTTTAAATAAGAACTTTTAATTTGACCCATAAAACTATTCCAGATTCACAAATTCCAGATATACGTGAGTTTCTCCTCACACTTCTAATGACTTCTTTGTCTCCCTCTCTCTCTCTCCCATAACACTCTGCTCATTTGTTTTTGTATTATAGGCTGGTTCTCCTCCTCTTTTCCTTCTGAGAAAAGTGACCAACACCACTAATTTTCTTCATCTTTTGCTATTTCTTTTCGTCTTTCCCACACCTTCCTTTTTTCAAAGTGTTCATGCTTGGAAATGCTTGAAAAATGAACTAGGGACCGGAGAAGCCCAAAAATGTGGTAGAGCTTTCAACCCTGCCTCTAAACCCACCAGCAAGGCTGTCAGATCCTACGACCGGCCTGGCTGTGGCCCTTTTTCTAAAATTCCATAAAAAAAAGCTGTGACAGCCATGCCAGGGGGTATCTATCAACAAATTTTCAGAGAAGCTAGGCCACCCTTCTTCAAAAAAGATTCCAAATTAACTGATCGATGGCCCCTAGACCACCACCACCACTACTCCCTGGATTAAGTTAAGGGGTGTTGACGTAAATTACTATTCTTACCCATCCTCTATTTTTAGAATGGGAAGTGATTTATGAGAAAGAAATTTTAAAAGAGTACTAGAACTCGGCTACTCCAAGTTCTACGATCAATTTTCACACTTGGAACGGACCGGGCCGGGCCGGACTGATGGGAAAATTTCATAGGCCCGGTCGGCCCGTGTTTTCAGAGCTGATTTTTCAATACGTGATTTTTAGGGTAAAACGGTGTTTTATGATGCTATGCCGGGCCGAGTCATAATTTTTCCAAGCCTGTCAATTTTGAAAAATTGCTCAGAGTGAGAAGTTTTCAGCGTTTTGACTATAACTGGGCTTAAAATGAAGGTTCTGGATTAGTTTTTGCACTAATGAAAGAAATTTAAGGCGCATCAATTCTGACAAACAGCCTGAGTGAACAGTTCTGAGCCAAACAGTTATATTTCAGCCATATTTCAAGAAACAGAGCTCCCATATCTCTTTAAAATGAACCTCAAGGCTGCTTGACCTATGTATTTTTGTGTGACGTGGGAGGGCCACCCACTCAAAAATAGCAACACACACCTTATCGAGAATTCAAATCTTTTCTCTCCTCGAGATATCTCGGGATATTTTTACACTTTTTGAAGTTTAATCTTGAGAAGTTCATCAAACTTTTTGGAGCTTTTGGGACCGATTTTTCGAAATATAGATATTCTGAACCTAGGATATGTATTAAAATCAATGAAAATAGAAAATCTTACAGTAATCTTTTCTTCGTTTCGAGACCCATATTGGTAATTGCTCAATTTAAGCAAGACTATTACTCCTTCCCCCCCTTCCCCGCCTCTGTTCGGAACGCACTGCAATCTCTACCCCCTTTGCCTCTCATACTTTTATTGTCCTTGTGGCCAAGTGGCTAGAGCTGCTGGTTTGGAAATATTCAACCCGGGTTCGAACCCCATCAGAGTCAAATCTTTTTTTCTTTTTTTTCCTCACCACTTACCACTCCAAAAGTTCAAAATACCCTCCAAAAAAAAAAACACAAGAATAAAGGGGCGTGGGAATATATCCATTTTTGTGAAATCCGAGCCTGCAAAAAAAGAGCACAAAAAGAGCAAGGAGGTTCTCACATACATTTTCGTGTCTCTATAGAAAAGAAGAGGAGGAGAGAAAGAAGAAGAAGAAGAAGAGAATAGGATACTAATTGAATACGTGTTTTGGGAAGGGGGATTCATTTTTGCTGCTTCTCTCATTTTTCCACTCCTCCTCATCTTTTTTTTTTGCTTACTTGATTTTTTTTTCGGAATTTTTTTTTGAAATATGATGGAAATTAGATTTGAAAAAAATGATCAAAAATTCAGAAAAAAATTTTGAAATTTTTTGAAAATGACAGGTTAGACTCTGCCATTTCTACATCTAAAAATGCCAAAAACCTCAACATTTCGAATTCAAAAAATTCAATTTCTTTGATTTTTTCTCCTCTTTCCATACATTTTTCCTCCTCCATTCATTTTGGGAGGGAGCCTCTCTATTATTTACTTTTGGAATTTTCGACGGTGTGTTGTGTGAAGTAGACGGAAAGAGAAGACAAAGTTAAGTAAATTGAAGAGCTTGAAAAATGGAAGGGGGGCTCGTGACATATGTTTAACAAGTTGAACAGATGATGGTTTTGACGTAACGAGAGGGTAGCCGGGGCGATACGTTCAACGTGTGCCCGCCAATTTTGAATTTTTTTTCGCTTAGCTTATTTGAATTTCGTTAGGTCCAACTATCTCGGAAAGTGCTTCTCTAGAAGACTTTCTGTTCTTTTTCCAATTTGAAAATTTCAAAAATATCAAGTTTGCTCCTAGTGACGCCTTTTGTAAAACTGCTCAGAATAAAAAGTTCCCGGTATTTCGACTATAACTCAGCTGAAAATAAAGATTATGCCATGGTTTTTGAATTAATTTTGCTCCTAATCGAGAATCACTTCCAGATTACTTCATAATTTCCAGAAATCGGAAATGTTAAGTTTGCTCCGAGTTATGACCAATTTTGAGAAATTGCTCTGAATAAAAAGTTCCCAGTATTTCGACTAAAACTCAGTTGAGAATGAAGATTTTTACATAGTTTCGGATCGAACTGTAGGAAATTTTCGGACGCCGTACTTGGAAAATTTTGGCCCGGCCAGGTCGGTACGGATTGGAATTTTTGAAAAAAATTTCACCAATATTTTTTTGCAAAACTCTATCGAAAATGTTCAAATTTCACAAAAAAAAAGTATCAAAAACATCAATATTTTTCAATTAAACTCGAAATAGCATCATAAAACGCCATTTTACCCTAAAATCACCTAAATTGGCTCTGAAAATACGGACCGACCGGGCCTGGCCGATGAAATTCCCCAAACGGCCCGGCTCGGCCCGTTCCAAGTATGTCGGACGCATCTAGGATGAAAATCTAGAAATCTTTTTCCGACAGAAAAAGAATCAGCCTGGCTGACCATCATGATCACTACCGAACTCTGAGAATTCCCATCCGGTCTGGGCACTTTTTTCACTAGTTCTTACTACAAATTCAAGCAGACTCTCTCCCCCAATACTATAATTATTCATTACCTCCGTCACCATCCAAGATTTTTGATGTTCATCAAATATATATTCTGAGTCAGAGAAAGACACGAAATGGGGGCGAGTAGACTACGGCTACAAAATCCTTCTTTTTAAGCACATTTTGCTTCTGATTTTCATCCTATTTGATTCAAAAACTTCCTCAGAAGACACTTTCCCTTCCCTGACTTTCAAAAAAAAAAAATCTCCGAAAAATAATAAAAAAGTTCGGAAGTTTTTCCTCTCGCCTTCCGAATTATTCAAAAACTTTGAAACGAGAGAGTATACCAGGCTGAAGAGACGCAGAGAAATTCAGAAATCCTTCTATGAGCACACACCTTTTTGTGATTCTTGAGCTGGAAATCTTCAAAAAAAAACCTGATGTTTTTTCTCAGTTTTTTGAGAGGGTTTGTGGACAGACTTTCAGATTTCAGTCTGATTTTTTCCCGTGGATTTTGCATCTTGTAGAGGCTAAGGAACTACAAACTACAAATTTTTAATGACGTGACGTTTTTGGGGAAAATTAGAACTTCAAAAAAATGAAAAGAAACACATTTTGAAAAAAGAATCATTTCTCGAAAAGACTTCTACTAACCACTAACATTATATCTCTACTAACCCCTCTCAAAAAAAAGTGAGTCAGCTCTATAAATGGGTTGGTGGGAAATCAAATTTCATTTTTCTTTTGAAAAAAGTAGAAAGAACCCCAAATCTTAACCAAAATTCAAATACGTCGTCAAATATGATGTCAAGTCTGCAAACACCTTCTCACCCAGCTTTCCTGTCTCGTTCCTGAGGGTCCGTCGGTTTGCGCACAGATCTCTATGCCCTCTCACTCTTACCCACATCATAGCCTTGTCGTTTACTGGTGAATGATAAAGTTTAAACGTAATCTGGCGGCGCGGGTTCGATCCCACTCACCACCAAATGTTTTTTGTTTTTTTTTTAACTTATTCTGAAGCTTCTCTTTTTCTTCAAACCTAAATTCATCGATTTTCCAATTTTTCCAGGATTCCAACCACCCGAAAAATGACGACATCAACATCCCCAAACAACGGCGTGAAGCTGATCATTTTCGACAAGGACGGTACCCTTTTGGATTTTCACAAAATGTGGATGCCATATGCGACGACTACCGTTCGATTGTGAGTGTTTTCTGTCTAGTTTTGACCGAAAAAACCAAGACTTTGAGCAATTTTTGGCCCAAAATGGCGAAGTTTGAGGGTTTTCAGCGGGTTTTGACTATTTTAGAACCCAGAAACCAGATTTTTCACTCATTTTGCTCCAAAAACGCTTCAAAAATGCTCTAAACTACGATAAATCAACCAAGTTTCAGGTTGGAAGCGGCCACAAACATCCGTGTCGGACCCGCTGTCTACAAGACGTTGGGAGTGGATCCAGTGGCCGGAAAGGTTGGTGGGTGGCCTAGAATTCTCTAAGATGGCCTAGGGGCCAGAAACCAATTCTAATGGTTCCCTGGGGAAAAATTGAAAAATTGGCATTTCTGCTCAAAAAAAAAAACGATGACGTCAATTTTTTTTTGAAAATCCTCTATGGTTTCAGGTTTCAATGGGAGCGCTCGCCGAGAAGACGTTGACCGGCATTCGGGAGGATATTTCGTTGACTCTTCAGGTAGGTACACACACTACAAACTACAAAATACAAACTCAAAGAAAAGCTGCGGGCATGTAGCGGGCTCTCGTAGTTATTAGGGGGTACTGAATGTCCAGAGCTGCATATCTCGGTTGTCTTTAGAGCTAACAAAAAGTTGTCAACTAACAAAATGCTTAAAATGTTTTGCTGAACTTTTTATTAGTTAATCATTTTTTTAAATTTTCAATGCTAACTGAGATATACTGCTTTGAACATGCAATACGAAATGAGCTATGAAATATTTGGTGTTTCATGCTCGGAGCATCATATCTTGGTTGTCTTTAGAGCTATCAAAAAATTGTCAACTAGTAAAATGTTTAAAATGTATTGTTCAACATTTCTTTAGTTGACCACTTTTGCAAATTTCTAATGGCAACCGAGATACACTGCTCTGAACACAAAGTACAAAATGAAATATGTAGTATTTGATGTTTCAAGTTCGGAGTGGCATATCTCGGTTGTAAAGATGTAAACTGATGAAATGTGTAAAATGTATTGCTAAACATTTCTCTAGTTAATCACATTTCCAAATTTTTAATGCTAACTGAGATATGCTATTCTGAGCATGCGGTTGCACCTCTATTATGGGTCTAACGGCATTTTGGCCCTTTGACTTCGCTACTACTCCACAAAATCCATGTTTTCCAGACATTTGGCATCACTCAAGTGGAAGCGGAAGCCTACGTACACGGATGTGTGCCAGAAGCGTCGCCGGGTGAGATGTCGCCAGTCTGTGATATGCCCGCACTCTTCACCACCCTCAAAGCGATGGGTATCAAGATTGCCGTTTGTACCGCCGATTCGAGGTTAGTGAGGGTTTGGGAAAGATGGCCTAGAGAACTTAAATGACCTAGAAATTGAGATAGGTGGCCTAGAAGAACCAAATGACCTGAAAATCGGGTGGTTGACATATAAGTTGAGAAAACGGCTCAGGAAATCAGTGTAGCCTAGAAATTCCCAACCGTTTGGAGTTTTGGAAAGCGGTATAAAAAGTCAAAATGGCCTAGATTTCAGAAAGTGGCCTAGGAGACCTAGAAGTGACCTGGAAGACTAATAAGGACTAGAATTCCGAGAGGTGCCCAGCAAGACTAATAAGGCCTAGAATTGTGGACCGTGACCTAGAAAACTTATCTGGCTTAGAATTCCACAATTTGGCCAAGGGGATAAAATAGCCTAGAACCTTCCGACTGGCGGCCTAGGAAATAAAATAGTTTAGAATTCAAGATTATGGCCCAGAAAGCCAAATCACCCTCTATTAATTCGGCCATGACCTAACTTTTCCCATCCTATGGCCTAGATTCTCAACACCCTTGATTTCCAGAGCCGCCACCATGGATCAGATGAACAAGATGCGTGTGGTGCCACTTTTGGATGATATCGTATGCGGAAATGACGTCGGAATCGTCCCGAAACCCTCACCACACTGTGCTATTCAGATTTGCAAACGATTAGGTGTGGAGTTGAAGGTAATTACGCTTGAGAATTGTTGCATTGGCATTGGGGCGCCCTTTTTCTTTTTTCGAGAAGTTAGCAATGGCGCTCTAATGACAATATCCTCAAAATTATCATTAGAGCGAACTTTCCTACTTGAAAAATTTCCAGGAAACCTTGATGGTTGGCGACACAATTGCCGATTTGAAAATGGGAAAAGTGGCGGGACTCCGAGCTTCGGTGGCGGTGATGACGGGTGTGGGAACACGCGAAACGTTGGCAGAGTATTCGGATTATT